GAGGGGGGAGAACCAGGAAGAGCAGGACAGTTGGACAAGAAAGGTGCTTTCTCCACATATGGTTTAGTTCTTCCTAGGATCCTTTCCAGGGCTCTGTGCATACCTGGATGCTAACCTCTTCTTTGCACTGCCTCAGGATGTCCCTCTGTAGGACCTTCACCTTGGGCACCACCTATAAAAGGAGAGGAGTGATGACTCCTAGAGGGGAGTAGTGCTATTGAATTGTTTATTCCTCCCAACCTTTCCCTGGAACCTAGAGTGGAGGAGGCAGGGACTAGAGAATAATGTGGAAGAGTACCTAGGTCCCTACCTTCACTGCAAATACTGCTTTCTGGCCACAATCTAGTACCTTGAGGACAGTTCCGAAGGACCCTTTAGCCACAAGGCCTAAAATCTGTACAGAAAAATGCAGAACAGGGAAGTTGAGACTCTGGTCGTTTCTAGAATTCTCCCCAAGACTGAGACCCCTTCCAGGGATTCCATTGACCTACCTTCAGCTGCTGATGCCCCCTAAGGGGCCTAATGGGAAACTCCGGCAGAAAGAGGTTGATGAACTGAGGCACTGGCCACTCAGACAGAGGCTTCTCTACTAGCCGTGGGGCTGGCTCCACGGGCTCCTGGTGCAGGCACTGATGCCCCCGTAGTCCCCATAGCTCTTCCAGACCTGACCTGCTGGCCCCCACACCTGACCAGAGGCTCTTCCAGCCTTGAACCCAGGCACCCCGAATGTTGTGACCCTGCTGAGAACCAAGGGAGCCACTAAAACTTCTGCCCTTGAGGCATTACAGGTTCTGCCCTATGCAGGCACTCCCTCAACTCTCAACCATAGGGATACATTTTTGAGCACCAGGCAAAATTGCTACTACCCTTGCTTTGGGCCAAGGCCTAGATTTCCTGGACACAATTCAAATCCTCTAGGAAGCTTGGACATTTTCCCCACGAGGCATCAAAGATTCAGCCCGTCTCTCTCAGTACAGGTCTGGGATACTTTCAGAGTACAGCCTCCCTGCACCAGCCCCACAGTAGGCATCACTAACATGCTCCTCACCAGTCACTTTCCAGCCCTCAAACCCATTTACCTCCCCTAAACAGCCAGAGCCCCACAGCCTACCTTATGAGGAGCAGCCACCCCGGTGTGTTGCCCCTGCCGACAGCTTACTGCTCCCATCCCCAGCCTCTGCCTCCTCTGTCCTTCCACTAAATCTGCTGTCCCAGTTACATAAGCAATTCCTCCCCCTGATGCTGCATTACACGTGAGCCATGCCTCTCTGCTGTTTATGACTAGAGATGCAAGTGATGCAGCCAAACCTTACTCTTATCCCCAATCCTATACCCCTGGTTAAGAATAGGCTTGTAGCCAGAACTAAAATGTGTGAAGACGTATCAGCATGGGACCAGTGTCACACCGGAGCTGGGAAGTTATCTGTGATATAGCTTCAGGCAGGCGGCTTCAGAGGCCACCCTCATTAAAGTGGCAGCTAGATGATATGTATCAATGGTTGATGGGGATGGAAGGACACAGACAAGTTGAATCCATGCACTCAACACAATTGGGGGGGAAAAAAAACAGCACCAAATTTAAAATATATTTTTTCTCTTTAAATCATCTTCTTACCATTCTCCAGAGCATACCCCAAGGGGACCCATGGCCAGCCCTGGCTCCTATTGCCATCTTCCCAAGTGAGCTTGGCACAGATTGGGGAGGGGCTGATTCCCCCCAGAACACTAATACCTTTTTCATACAAGGCAGTGGAATGTGGGACAGAAGATCAGCCCCTCCCCTCAACTTTCTGGCACAGAGGGAGAGCAGTTACACTTAGAAATATATATATATATATTTATATATATGTGTATTTATAAAAATTTATCACACTTGATCAGAACTGTCCCCCCATCCTTTCAGTTGACCCCAAGGGAACCAGATCCTAGCCCTGGGCCCACTCCCTGGGTCTTGCTCTCTTGATGGCTCTCTGGCCCTGGGCCTGCTGATCAGTGCGAGGTAGAACTCAACATTATTATCCACCATGCTCTGTAGGGAACAGACCAACTGCTAAAGAGCAATGCCTCTCTCCACAGTACCCTGGGGCTCCTGACCCCCACAAATCCTGATGGATGAAGGGAAGTGCTTCCCACCCAACAAGTCCCTGAGGCCTGAGCCAGAGTCAGATCCTGTACTGCAGCCACTCTTGGATTGCTGGATCACTTGCGCCTGCCAAAGATGGACTTCTTGCCAGGGTTCTTGTTGCCCACACTTAAACCGATGAGGAGCCGGGCTTTCTCCTCCTCTTCCTGCTGTTGCATGTTGAGGTCTGATTTAGTTTCTAGCTTTCCCCGGACCTCAGACCCTGTTGCGGGCTTCAGCCTTAGCTTCTCTTTGATTACCTGACAGATTAGAAAGGAGTAAAAGGGAAGGTAAACATTAGTGGGACAGGCAGAATAAATCACAGTGAACCAAGTCAATAAAGATTTATTAAACTCACATGAAGGTACAATGCGGCAGCTCATATTCTAAAACAATCTCTGCTTTCAAGAAGCTTACAGTCTAATTAGAACCCATTCTAAACCTGAGGTTGTCAGCCCTCAGTTCCCTAAAAATCAACAGTAGTTAACATATGTGAAACACTCAGTAAACATTCAATTTAATCATCTGAGCAAAGTCATGGAGAGGGCAGAGATAGAAGTTGCTCAAATTTCATTCACCTGCCCCTTCCCAAGGCTGCTTGTTAATATATCCTACAATGAAATGCTCCTGAGCAGAGGATCTGCTTGCCAGCTCCTGCTAACCAAACAGCCATGAACTCTGCCGGGATACCTGGGCAACCAGGGCTCTGCGGCTGTCCCTCTTGACAGCCATGGCAAAGTCTAGCCATGTCCATGTGTTGTTGTGGTACTCCAGACAGGGCAGCACTAGGTTAAGGTCACCCCAGTCCACACTGTTCTTCTCACCCTGCAAGAGAAGGAGGGGGAGTGGAGAGAAAAGAAAAGGGGAAAAATAAATCAGCTGCCGTTTTTAGTCCAAGTCTAGTACCTTCCTGCAGCAGCACCCTACAGATACTGATTTCCCCTTACCTCAGTCTGCTAATGGTACCGACTCCTGAAGGGAGCAGAGGAAACAGCAGATTTATCATCCTTAGACTAGCCTCAGAAGCTGGACTGTCTCCCTGTCTTTAATCTCTGATGATCTTATCTTCCCTTCCCACCCTGTCCTATAAAGTGCTGAGGAGAAGCATACCTTGTAGCTGACACACAGTGGAACCTGTGGAATCTTTATGTAGATGAAGGAGTTGTTCATGGCAGCTCGCTCTTTCATCTTGTCAATATCATCAACAGGGTGCTAGGAAAGGCAGCAAAGGAGTTATGAGCCCCTGAAACAATCAGAAGAAACTTAGGACCCCAAACATCTCTATCTCCTTTCACCCCTGGAGCAGACTCAAAGGAAACAGAAGAAATCCAGCCAAGCCAAACAGAGTACCCCAGGACGCTCCCATTTTTTATCATCAGGGGCATGTCTGGTACCTCTGGTGCTTTGCGAAATGACCTTCTGACCCCAGAACTCCGATTCAAGCCCTGTGCCACACCCTTCCCAGGGCCCAGTGGTGCTGCATCATCTGTTGGAATCAGCTGTCGAGGCTTCACCACTGGTATTCCTATGAAAAAGCAAGCACACCAGCTCTTGTCCTCTTTCTGAAGCTTCTGCTGTCTCTGGGGCTGCTACCCCAGTCTTCTGGAGGTCCACCATAAAAGTTCTCACCAGTAGTCACCAGTTTGGACTTATCTTCTTCATCACCAACCTCATCATCTTCCACACTTCGGCCAGGAAAGAAAAAGCCCATTATTCTATGGAAGAACTGGTGTGTCAGCTGGATGGTGAGAGGCACCACATTTACCTAAAGAGGAAAAAGGCTGAAGAAGCAATTAAGCTCAGACATCATCCCTCAGTTTACCTAGCACTAACATAGCATAATATAACACAAAGATAGCTTTTGACTGCCCTTTGTTGCTGCCCCCAGAGGAGTGTTTACTAACCTCAAAGTGCTCCTTAACAGAGATACCCCCAACAGGGGGCCGGACTTTGCTGAAGAGGCGGAGAGCTAGCTGTCGCCCAGACTGGCAGGAGCTCTGGGGCCGCAGGACTACCTGTAGGATAGAGTGATAAATCAACCCACAAATCCTCTGTGCACTGAGAGAAGGAGCAATGATCTTGTTAAGCTGGGCAAGCTTTCAGCATCTCATCACCACACTGTTTCCCATACTACGTTTATGTGGAAGGACCATTACAAATGCCCTGTGCTAAGAAGCATATGAATGGTCTAGGAATGGGGAAATAAGACTTGCCTTATAGACAGCATTGGGGAGAAGGTTGTTCATAGTGAACCAGCCCAACTCGAGAAGATGTTCTGCTGTGTCATCAGACTTATTCACCTATAAAGACAGATTCCCCCCACACCCAATCCACTATAATAAGCCTTTCTCAGGAGTTTGCTAGAGAATTGCTACATATCCTGTTTGTTGTCAGGTTCTCCATATGCCTAATCCCAACCTTTGATATGTCTTTCAGTCTCATACAGTCAATGCACCCTCTAATCCAGTGTTTCGCATGGGTGCTACTAGCCAGGGCACTAAATGCCAGTAGTACTTCCCAGTCACTGTGACATTCAGAAATGGCTTCATTATTTTCCAAACATCCCTGGGGGGATAAAGAATAATGTCCTCTCCTCCATGCCACAGCTAACTGCAAGAAAGCTGAATGCCAGTATAGAATTAATGGTTCTATTCCAAGCTGGACTTGGAAGAATACTTCCCTCTGTGCCACATTTCTAGGGAAAATCTTATTCAATGAGGAAGCATTTGATCAATCTATATCTTATTATTTAATATTACAAGCAGATGTGTCTAAGGGAACTCTACTCATGTTTCTTTCATCATTAATAACTTTAATACCATGATTAATAATCACATAATAATTAGCCCCTTTTTGTTTCTCTCTTTTTGTGAGTCAGACTCCTGAGACAGGTCAGTGCCTCTCAATGCAGCTGCCTCTGTGTGACTCTCTACCCGATACCTTGCTGTAGAGGAACCGCTGCAGCTCCAGTTCAGCAATTCCAAGCTGTCCATCTTCCTCTGTCAGGCACCATCGTGCTTGAGCAAAGTAGAACTCGGTACGACGGACCACACTCACATCTTCTTGCTGCTTTCGCAGCTCCATCTTGTTGGCCTGCTGCAATTGGAAATCCTTAAAACACCTATAAATGGACAGGAAGGCCAAAGCCATTAAGGGCAATAGCATTCAGGCTGTGGGTGGGGCAGAATGCTCAAGAATGATGCAGGAGGTAAACCCAGAGATGGACCTATTCTGGAACAGGTAGTCCCTAAATTTTGTTCCTGGATTCATTGCTCCTCACACCCTGGGCCATGGGAGCAAAAATTCCATCTTTTAGTTCTACAGCTTCTTAATAAAGTAATCTCTTTCCACTAATAACCCCTATGATAGTATCTGCAATTGTGTTCCTTACTGATCAAGATATTTTCAGTTCAGATGCACAGTATCAAGGCCACTAAAGTGATCTTTCCCAACTACCTGTTTTCCTCCTTTCCCAGGAGGTACTCTATTGAGGATCCAAAAGAAGGCTCTCCTGTTCTCAACCTCTTGGCTAAGTCCAAGACGACTCATTCCAGAAGAGGTGCCTGAATCTACTACGTCAGCCTTTGATAATGCACACTAGACCTAAAGACCATCAGAAAACAGGCAAGGAAGAGAAATCAACTCCAGCTAGGGCACTTGAAAAGGGCAGGGAAAGAACGCTGTGGCACCTGATGAGGATATTAAGCTCTTCACTTTCCAACTGTAGGTTGGCCTTCTCCTGGTTTAGCTGCAACTGAAGCTTTTGGTTCAGGTCAAGCAGGTTCTCATTCTTGCTGTCATCCTGCAAAGACTAGGGAGCCAGGACAGGAGAAACTTAAGAGATCTCCCTCATCCTAGGAGACCTCCCTATCCTCAGACTACCCAGGTGACTACCTTCATGATAGAATACATCTGCTTTTCCAGCTGCCGTATCTGGGCCACGTGCTGCCGCACAGCCTCCTGCAGATGTAATATGCTGCTACGCTGCTCCTCAGGATTGCTAGAGATCTCAAGCTGGAACCTGACCCGCTGCTTCTTCTCACTATGCTCCTAAAGGAATGGAAAAGGAAATGAACAAAATTTTTTAATAGACAAGTCTTGTAACAAAGTGAAATAGAGAAAGGAACAAGAAATGGGGATCTGTTCTGGCAAGGTCACCTTTATCTGTCACTGTTAGTAGCAAGATTAAGGGGTAGGCCAATGCGGAAGATCTGGCAATGTATATTTGACAATAAGCCAGTCCCATAGGATAGGCAGAGAAGTGGAAGTGGGGAGTAGTTACTGTTTTTAAGGGTATTTAAGTGGCTGGGGAGAGAAGTGACCAAGAAAAATAATCTAGTAAACAAGTTCTACAGTCTCAGGGACACTCAGACCTTTCCTAGACAAGAGAAATTTCAACTGCCGCTGATGACTAACGAGAGGATATACTAACCACAAGGCCTTTTTTCAGTTTTAAGCATGGCTTTTCTTACTGGACCCAAATAAAGCACAAAGTCTGGAGGTTCCTGTGAGGCTAACTGGCATTCCATAAAGGCCCATCTTCACCTTTCGCTTGGGTTCTACGTGGAGCAGCAAGTTGTTGACGATGTCCAGGATCATGGCATACTGAGCCGGGTTGGTGGAGATTTCTAGCTCATGATGGATGAGGGTGAAGGTATCCACAGCCCCTAGGTAATTGTTTGCAACTAAATAAGAGGCTCAAGTTTCTCTCTAAATATCTATCCCATCTCCTAACCCATATTGGAACCACTCCTGTTAGTTAGTTAACCCCATAGAAAGGGCTCGGTGAGAGATGCTCATAGGTATAAACATGTTTGCTCATTTCAACATCAAACAATACCCCTTCATCCCAGTTCCCTCCAAGAGTACAGATTATTCTCTCATAGCAGAACTTACAAAATGTAGAGCAAAGTGTAATGTTAATGCCCAATGCACAGTGGGGATCTTAATTACACTACTGCCTCAAAACCACTAAGGAAATAACTACTTTCATAAGTTCCCTAGTCCCCTCCTAAAAGCTTTTCAAGCCCTGAATACCTTCCTGCTTCTTTAGGAGATCTTCCTTTTCCTGGTTCTCATGAACCTCAGGTGGCTTAATCTGAGTTGCCAGCTCAGGATCAATGTCATGGCTGTAACTAATATAGTACATTCGGCAGTTGCAACGTGAAATGATTCGCTGGACTTGCTGGGCTTGCTGAGCCTCAGCTGGCTGGTTCCAATCTGGGAAGAGGTGGGGAAAAAATAAGAAAAAGATTCTCAATAGAGGTATCGTGAGAGCCTCCCAGCTTCATGTGATGTCTAGGAAACTCCAGACACTTGCTTTCAACCTAGCCTAACAAAAAATGGTCTTACTCCAGCATATATTGATCTTAAGGGTAGGTAAGGAAATGAGGCCCCTTTGGGATACACATCTGCTCCTAAACATATGAGGGGAAGATGGGAGAGCTGACCTGTGGTAGTGGTAACCATGCCTCCCACTGCCTGCCCGCTCTCCATCAGCTCCTGCACAGAGTCCAGACTACGCTGCCGGTGCTCCTCAATATTCTTCACCTGCAGACAGAGATATAGGCACCTTTATCTCCTAGGGGATCAGTAGCTTTCCCTGGCCAACTGGGTCACAGGTCTCCATGATGCAATTAGTTTGACTTACTGTCTAGATTTCCAGTGCCTGGAATAGCTTGCAGGATCTCCCACGGTAGAGGACATATGTGTCTCTCACTCCTGGCCCAAACCACCCAAATTCTCCAAACCCAACTGACTTGCATGCACATCTGCCAGGCTTGCAGACCTCAGGCCAGAATAATAACTTAAGTTAAAATCAAATCATGTCCCCACCTCACACCCATTAGGATGGCTACTGTCAAAAAAAATAGGAAATAAGTGTTGGCAAGGATGTACAAGAATTGGAACCCTTGTGCACCATTGGTGAGAATGTAAAATGGTACAGTCACTGGGGAAAACAGTATGGCGGGTCCTCAAAAAATTAAAAGTAGGGGCTGGCCCCGTGGCCAAGTGGTTAAGTTTGCATGCTCTGCTTCAGTGGCCTGGGGATCACTGGTTTGGATCCTGGGCACAGAGCTATGCACCACTCAACAAGCCATGCTGTGGCAGCATCCCACATAGAGGAACTGGAATGATCTACAACTAGGATATACAACTATGTACTGGGGCTTTGGGGAGGGAAAAAAAAAAAAAGAGGAAGATCAGCAACGGATGTTAGCTCAGGGCCAATCTTCCTCACCAAAAAAAAAGAGAGAGATTATATGATCCAGCAATTCCACTTCTGGGTATACACCCAAATAAGTGAAAGCAGGGTCTAGAAGAAATATTTGACATCCATATTCATAACAGCACTATTTACAATAGCTAAAATGTGGAAGAAACCCAAGCGTCCATCAATGGATGAATGGATAAGCAATATGTGGTATATACATATTATGTAATATTATTCAGCCTTAAAAAGGAAGGAAATTCTGACACATGCTACAACATGGATGAATCCTGAGGACATTATACTAAGTGAAATAAACCAGTCACAAAAAAATATATATATATATTGTATGATTCTACTTACATGAGGTACTTTAGAGCAGTCAGAATTACATAGAGAAAGTAGAATGGTGGCTGCCAGATACTGGGGGGCAAAGGGGGTGGGGAGTTATTGTTTAATGGGTATAGAGTTTCAGTTTTACAAGATGAAAAGAGTTATGGAGATGGATGGTGGTAATGGCTACGGAACATTATGAATGTATTTAATACCAATGAACTATACACTTAAAAATGGCTAAGATGATAAATTTTATGTTATCTGTATTTTACCACAATACAAAAAATTAGAAAAAAAATCAAATCATGTCATGGGCAAAAATTTCATCAAAACCAGTGACTTTCCCACCCACTTTGGTATTCATGTGTTTGTGTTCTTGCTGTTTTCTGTCTTCAGACAGACAACCACTCTGACGCTGTTGCCATAGAGGAAAGGGACTCTCTCTGCCAAGCTGAAGTCAAAGCGAATAATAGAATGAGTAATATGGAAAACCATAAGCAGATCTGCCAAGTCACAAAAAAATTCATATAGGAAAGGCAAGATCAAAGTCCCTCCCACCTAAGCCAAGGACATTCCACCCTAATACTAATATCACAGCCTGAGAAAAAAAAGAGTTCACTTTCAAAAGAAGGCATGCCTAATAGAAGCAGAGTCCCAGAAAATGCCAGATAGGGAGATTCTGCATATCACATCCGGCCCACCTCTACATGAGTAGTTAACACTTTCTCTGCCTACCTCCTGAGACTACTGGTAAAGGGCACTGCTTACCTGAACCACAGCTCTAATATATCAGCATGACCTATGATATTACCAATAACCTGACCTGTATCTGGCTTGACATCTTATATAATTACACTTCAGGTTTCCTGGATTGAGCCCTAAAGTTGTTGGAATAAAAAGCACCAGCCAGGGAGAAGGGGAGAGGGATTAGCTTCATCCCCCTTGAGTAGAATGGCAAATGAAGTTATCACACTGGTCCTTATCAGATGTAGCTGGATCCAGTAACTCATTTGGGTGTACCATGCCCAGCACAATGTGGACACTTAACACCTGTTAAATAAGTAATGACAATACAAAATATTGGCTAGGTATATCTTATAACCATTAGATCTCCCAATAATTTTGATGATATTATATCCTAGAAATTACAGTGCAAATTCAGTTTTACCAAGAAGCTGAAAAGAATATTTACAGCCTAGTCCCTGCCAACTGTTCACAGTCTCAGTAACAAAAACATTATCTTGACACACACTTAGACCTCCCCAGACATACTGATTTTTAAAAATGATGACTACTTTCCATCTGAATGAAACTTTATATTTTTCAAAGTACATTCTCATTTGATCCTTTCAACACTCTTGTGAGGGTGAAGAATTAACTCCATCTTACAACTAAAGGTGACTTGCCCAAGGGCTCATGGCTACTATAGTGGCAAAGCTGGCATTAGAACTCACATAACATGAC